ATTTGATGTGCTTTTTGTTGAAAAAACAACGCTCGGCAACACATGCTTGAGCATATCTCTCGCCTCTGGACGTCGCCACAGTCTTACACGTTTGTCTGAGCCCGTAAGACAGAATCTCGATTCATCGGAAAACAATACACGACTCCAATTCTGCATTGTCCAAGCCAAGTGTTCCCGTGCAAAATTCAATCTGGCAATTCGGTATTCACGGGAAAGCGGCGCGGTCCAATTTACTCTAGTTCGAGAAGATAAACCAGCAGCATGCAGTCGTCTCCTAACTGTCCATTCACTTATGTTTACATTTCTCACTTCTTGCAGATGATTTCGAAGAGAAACTGCCGTGACCGTTCGGTTTCTCAAAGCACTAGAAACGACAAAGCGGTCATCTCTAGCTGTTGTAATCCTGCCTCGACCTGAACCAGGTCTTCGAGTAAGCAGACCGGTCTCTTCGTACCGTTGCCATACTTGTTGCACACTCGAGAGACTTACACCAACGTTTCTCGCAGTTTCGCGCTGACCGTGGCCATCTTCTAACACCGCTACAATTCTTGCCGCCACAACAGAATTTATGCTCATTGCAATACACTGACAGTGACAACAATACACAAACAATTTACAATTGACGTTAAAACTACAGAAACAAAAACTGTGCTGATAACGGTTTTTAGGAATTAGGCTAAGGGGCCCTTTTTATCTCAAACGCTTGTCGAAACAACAACAATTTTTTTTTCAAGAAATCCATTAGTAAACTATGTTACAACCGAAAATAGTTAAAACAGAATAATAATTTCTAAAATAAATTCAAATTACGGGGTGACCCTAATTTTATGCTCGGTAGTGTATAAGAGAAACCATTATAAAGGAAAAACAATATTTAAGTCCACAACTGGTGCCTTCGTTCTCGTCATCGAATGCCTCTACATGTTCTAATGATCCCAGGTCATCCAAGTTCTTTGTTGACGTTTTTAAAGTGTTATAAAATGCATGGTGAATCGGAGGAATGTAGGGTAATATCTTTCATATCATTTTTCTTTGCTTGTGTAACAGTTCTAGGGCGTTTTTGAATTTCATAAAAATTTTGTGACGAGCCTTTCGTTTTTGGCAACTGCAATGCAGAAAAGTCTTTTATCTTACTTACAAAACTTCTCTCCTTATAAAACATTGTATGAGGACAGTTTTTTGCGAAACGTATACATTGAATTTGCAGCCAGTTAATTGACTTTCCGTCTGTATTTAGTTTATTTCTTCGTACCGATTTTTCCAACTGTAATGTACCTTTAAAATATTCTTGTTTCATTACATACATACATCGGTTTAGAACGTCTTTTGACGTTGTCCGATACCTAAACACTATCTCTTCCTATCTTCGCAGTCGTTTGTTGTTAAATTTCTTTCGCTCATGGACTTGTTTACGCCGTGTTGCCATTCTAATCTGGGTCTTCCTCTTTTCCGTCGACCTATCGGTTGCCATTCTACTACTTTTTTGGGGAGTCTTGTTGCTGGCATCCGTTGAACATGCCCATACCACCTTAATTGTTTCTTCTCTATATCTTGAGTTATATTTCCTTCTATTCCCATACGTTGTTTTATTACATCATTTCTGATTCGGTCTCGTCTGGAAATACCTAAAGATCTTCTCATTGCATCCATCTCTACTGCTTCTATTCGCTTTTTGTTCTTTTCACTAATTCTCCATGTTTCAGCGCCATAAAGAAGAGTAGTTTTAATCATGGTCTCATATATATTAAATTTTCTTCCTTTCGTTATCTCTTTACTCCACAGTATACCATTGAGATATCCTAAGACTTTCTTTGCTTGTGTGATTCGTTTTTCTATTTCCCGTGTATCAGTTCCTGTATTGTCAAAGGCAACACCCAAGTGGTCATAGCTCTGACAGCAGGAAATATGTTTTCCGTTTTCGAGGTCTATGTTATCTGACTCGTTTCCAATACAAAGATATTTGGTTTTTGTTGTATTGACATTCATTTTTCAGTCTTTATATTCTTCTATCAGTTTTCTAAGTATGTACTGCATATCTTCCCTGTCGGTCGTTAGTACTACCTGTTCATCAGCAAACTGGAGCAAACATTCATTGCTAAGCTCTATACCCATCCCATGCACCTTTCTCTTCCATTTTTCCAATGCTGCTGCCACATATATCTTGTTTCATTACGTGAACGGTAAACTTATTTTTCTCCTAGCATTACGGATGGTTTCATACCAGTCATGTGAAGTATAACGTAATTGATTTTTTGCGGCAGATTCAATTTTTCCAAAGTCAGAATCGTTCATCATAAATGAGTGACCAAGACTAGAAATTTGAGATATATTTGGCTTTTGTAACGGCTTCGGAACAGAGGAAACTCTGTATAGTTTCACAACTCTTGCCCAAAAATGTCGAGACCAACAAAAAGATCTTTTCGTTGCGTTTATAGACTATCATCATAATCATTCGAGCTGTGGGTGTACAGAATAATACTGAAAATATCGTGGACAGAACACGTCACAAACAATGAGGTTCTGGGAAGGATGAATAAAGAAATGGAAATTTTAAATACAATAAAAACAAGAAAATTAGAATATCTCGGACATATTACACGAGGAGAGAAATACACCTTGCTCCAACTGATTATGCAGGAAAAGATCCAAGGAAAGAGAAGCATAGGGAGGCGTAGAATGTCATGGCTGCGCAACCTGAGAGTGTGGTACGGATGTACATCAAATGAACTTTTCAGAGCAGCCGCTTCAAAAGTCCGAATAGCTATGATGAATATCACTTGAAGAAGAAGAAGATAGACTATGAGAAAGCTTTCGACAAAGTTAAACATAACATTCTCATGTAATGTCTAAAGAGAAAAGGACTCGACAAAAATGACATTAACACAGTGAGAAATCTCTATTTTAACCAACAGGCTGTGGTAACATTAGATGGAAATAGCACGGATGCGCAACAGATAAGTAGAGGAGTGAGACAGGGCTGTGTACTTTCACCATTACTATTTAATATATATTCCGAAGAGTTATTTATGCAAGCACTTGAAAACTGTACAGAAGGGATCAAGATAAATGGTGAAAATATAAATAACATTCGTTATGCTGACGATACAGTCATTATCGCTGAAAGTGAGACAGACCTGCAAATGTTACTAAACACAAAAAATGAAGATATTGAGCATGTGGACAAAATGAAATACTTAGGAGTCTGGATTACGGAAGATCTGAATCCGAAATCAGAAATTTGCTCAAGAATAGAGCAATCAAGAGCAGCCTTTTTGAAGATGAGGAAATTTCTGAGTAACCAAAGACTCAATCTGCAAATCCGATATCGGATGGTAAAATGTTATATCCACTCTATTCTTCTTTATGGTGTCGAAGAAGCGTGGACTGTTAATGTTGACTTAATGAGAATACTGGAAGCTTTTGAGATGTGGCTTTTTAGGAGAATTTGAAGATACCATGGACCGATCATATTACGAACGAAATGGTGTTGCACAGAATGGGAAGAGACAGAGAACTTTTGACTATCATTATAAGGTGAAAGACAGCATATTTCGGGCACATACTTAGAAATGATAAGTACGAATTGTTGCAGGTGATTATGAAGGGTAAAATCGAAGGAAAAATGGGTCCTGGTAGACGACAAATATCCTGACTAAAAACACACAGACGCTTTTAAGAAAAGCAGAAGATAGAGACGAATTTGCAATGGTTATAGCCAACCTTCATTAGTGGAGACGGCATTAGGAGAAAAAGAAGTATCGCTATACGCTAATATGTTTTTTACCGTCAGCTTCACATTTCACATGTTTTGTTAAGCAGCATGCAATTTGCTGGAATCCTCTAGAGGGCGCAGTTTCGTCCCGTATATACATCTACGCTTTATGGGTATTCAAGTCATGCATACCTAAATTGCAGCAATATAAATTTCGTATGTAGTAGGCAATTGATGTCAATCTGGGGAAAGGCAATGCTTTCTGTAAGTCAAACGAAATTACATGATAACTTTTATCAGACTGAGCCAAATATGCATAGATTTTCATTGCAGCTCTGGCTTTTTCAACTTTACTTAGATGTAGTCCATGATTTACCCTCAAGTTTATTTTATCAAATTCGTCAGCTTCGTCGTTGAGAAGTGTCCTTTCTAGGATGGTGAAAATGTAGGTTTGGTTTAAAAAATATGTTTCTGTACATGTTTTCACCGACTGATTGCAATCCATCTTCGAGACATTTTTCTTTGTATAAACAAACATATTTCTAACGTTAAGACATGGATCTAAGTATCTTCTGTTTGGATTATGAGTTCTCGTATAATGGTTGGTGTAAGCAGGAAAACTTTTGATATTATTTGTTACAAACCCAACACGTGATTCATCAGTTTTATTGAAACTTGCACTCTTCTCTCTCAAATCTTCCCCTACTTTAGCAGACCCTACTTCTGCAAGGCTCTTGTCATTCGACCATCAGAAATTTGAAATGTTTGCAAAAAAATACTGCTTACAAACAACGTGAATGAAGCCCTCAATGTTCAAAAAATACTTATGTGTACAGGCCTTCATTCCTCTACTTTCATTACGCCTTTGTCTATTCGTAACTGCTATTTTTCGTACTAGGCCACGTATATAACAATTTTGTCTTGTCTTATAGTCACCCATAGCCCAAAACAAGTCTTATTTGTAACAGAGAATACAAGAAAAATGCTTTAAATGTAACTACAAATTATATAAAAAAATGACTTACACCACTTTTGCTCTCAGCGGCTTATACATCTGTATACATTTTCCCAGAAAGAAAACCATACGAAAATCAACGTAATTCTTACAACCTACTGATCTCTCCACTGTATCTAAATCCTTCTACTTCCTTCACCTTCTATCACCCAATTTTTCTTTCTACATCGGCACTTAGTAACTTTTTGGGTGCCAAACTAATATATAATAATAATAACTAATAGTTTGGCACCCAACGTGGGCGATCACAGTTACAAAATATTCTTTTTTTAGGTATGAGCATCAAGAAATAGCTTTAAACTGTGGTACTATGTTACGCGAATGTGCTAGATACGAAGCGCTGGCAAAAATAATGTTATACTCAGATGATTTTTATAACTTTTTTCGATACGTGGAAGTTTCTACTTTTGATATAGCTTCGGATGCGTTTTCTACGTTTAAGGTAAGTTGCGAGACCGACATTTTTGGTGTTGTGGTTAAATATCGATCGCTTTTTAGGAATTGTTAACCAGACACAAAATTTTATGCGCCGATTTCTTAGAAATGAACTACGACAAAGTATTTAATCACTATCAGAGACTTCTCAACTCTGAGAACTACGTCACTCGTCGTCAAAGTCTGAAGCTTCTCGGGGAATTACTACTCGATAGACATAATTTCACAGTAAGTACGATCATTATTATTAATAAGAAATTATAGAAACGTTCATTCTAATGCAAAAAGCGATTAATATTATATTTCGCGTTTATTGTGATTTTTAAAACGTATGACTTTATACAGCATACATAAATTATTTTTAAACAAACACTTGTATACTTGTTTTTACGGTATTTAACAGGTATTTAACCCATTAATGCCCAAAATTAATTTTTTTGTCAAAACGAAATCAAAAATGTGTTCAGCAATATGTTCTGACTTTGGATTATCTACTGCGTTCTTTGTGTATCGGCTTTTATTTTCTATCCAAGGTCTCAGTAAAAATCTCAACAGTTGTCAGTCATAGAGGTTTTACCTCCTGGTCTATATGTTGTATTACCAGGACTACAGGTCTGGCTTATCAATGTTTAGACAAGTCATACGTAAGTAAAAAACGGAAAATTCAGCTCCGACTGCGGATCAACAAGCTTGCTGTTAGTGAAGTCCTGTTTTCCCACCAGCGGTTAGTAGTAATATACTAACCGCTGGTGGGAAACTAACTATAATTAATGAAAACGGCGAAGCACTAATAGACTTTTGCGCTAGAAATGAAATGAGAATCAACAATACATACTTTCCTCATAAAGACCAACATAAATACACTTTTAACAATAATCGAGGCCAGCGATCAATGATAGATTTTATAATCACAAATCGAGCGATAACTCTAGAACAAGTACTTGATGTCAGAGCACTAACATCTGCTAACCTGGGGACTGATCATAACCTTGTTTTATGCAAGATGCTACTAGAATGTCCGCAACGAAACAGAAAACCCCCAATGTTCATCGAAAAAATAATATAGAGTCGCTAGCAACAGAGAGTACAAAACTGCTTTATGAGAACAGGATTACCAGCAAACTAAAAGAGATCGACTTAAAACCCGAATGGGGAGTAGAAGATACTTGGCAAAAAATTAAGAAATGCATCAACGAAGCAGCAGAAGAAGCGATTGGAAAGCGGTAAATTAACACGAGAGCGACAAACCACATTAAACCGTGGTTTTGTCAAGATGTAAAAGAACTCTCTGAATTAAAACGCAAATGCTACCTGAGATATAAAACGAAGTAAACGCCAGAATAAAATCAATCAAAAGAGAACATTGGGCCAAATTCACTTGCGACATGGACTACGACCTATGTGGTGCCCAAAAGAAAGTATGGAAAATGCTCCGCAACAGGAAAAAACCAGTTAACGAGTTCGTGCAGACCAAAGGGGTACCTATAGAAGCATGGCAACAGCATTTTAAAGAGCCATATGATGCTGAAGAAACGCTGAATATAAACGAAGGCGAAACAGATGTGAGTGCTACAATCAATGACGAAGAAGTAGAAGCAAAGATCAAAAAGCTAAAAAACAGAAAATCACCGGGAACGGATGGTATACCCAATGAACTTTTAAAATATGGAGGCCCGGAACTTGCAAGTAAACTGGCACAACTATTTAACAAAATATTAAACAAAACAGAAACACCAGAGGAATGACATAATAGTATCACAATCCCCATATTTAAAAAAGGACAAAAAACCTGCCCATAATACTATAGGGGAATAACCCTCTTAAATACAACAATGAAACTTTTCACGGGTATTCTCAAGGACAAATTGGAAAAGCAAATCACTAATGCTGAAGACCAACAAGGTTTTACAAAAGGGCGGTCTATAACAGACGCAATATTTATAATAAAACAAATAAAAGAAAAAGCAATAGAGTTCGGCATGCCAGCGTATATTTGCTTCATTGATTTGACGAAGGCATTTGACAGAGTTCGCCTGGGAGACATTCTAAATATATTAATAGAAAATAAAACACCGACCAGTATAACAAAGATACTCCATAACCTAAATAACAACAACGTAACCAAAGTTAGAGCAGGAGACGAATTCACTGAAAATATTCCAACACCGGGAGGAATTAGACAAGGCGACAGTTTAAGCCCCTTCTTGTTTAATCTTCTCATGGCAAAATTATCAACAAAGTAACATCTCTTAATCTCGGATATAGAATGGGCAACAAAAGAATTGGTATGGTGTGTTACGCAGACGATGCAGCAATTATTGCCGAATCAGAAGATGATCTCCAAAGGCAGCTCTTTCAGTTCTTTCAAACAAGCCGACTACTAAATATGAACATCTCTACACAAATACATGTATGACAATAGCAAAAGATCCGCTCAGATGTAAGTTAGTGGTTGAGGACAACCCCATAGAACAGGTGATGCAATTCAGATATCTGGGCATAGATATATCAAGCACCCACGACCCAGTAAAGGACCTGAGGAGTCAGATCAACAAAGCATCTGCACTGTCAGGATGTCTGCGGGAGATAGTCTGGTCAAATCCGTATATGCGCACAGATAGTAAAATTAGAATCTATAAGACTTGCATACGACCGATCATGACATATGGCATAGAAGTGCGCGAAGATACCAACAAAACGAAACAGATGCTAAGGGTTGCCGAAATGAAAACCCTAAGAACAATAATGGGGAAAACAAGAAGAGACAGAGTGAGAAATACAAACATTAGAGAGCAGTGCAAAATTCAAGATATTGTAAGATGGGGAAGGCAGCGCAAGAGGATGTGGTACAACCATGTAAGACGAATGGATGAGAATAGACTCCCAAAAATTGCCCTAGAAAACAATCCGCCCGGTTCAAGACCCCCCGGAAGACCACCTAAAAGATGGAGGGATAGTTGGCAATCTACCTCCCAAGAAATTAACCAGAGGCAGCTTCAGAATTAAACAGATCGAAAGATCTACAAAAAGTAGAAGAAGAAGGTTAGTAGTACTAGACAGATGACCACGACCCGGGCTATGCTTGTTTCTGATAAATAAGCAGACAGTCAGTGGTGTGTAGAGTCGTGAGGTTCTGGTAATGTACCATCAGGTTCTTCGAGAAGTGTATATCGGCAATGTGAGTGAGACGTCTCACTGTAAACTATAAATAAGTAGAAAAAGGAACGAAATATGTGAATATAATAACTGAGACATATACCCCTGTGAGGTGCTCGAATTGTTAGAGGTATAACGAACTATTTTGCTTACCTCAGGGTAAGAACATGGGGGAGAAGATTGGGCAAACAAAATAATCGGAACTAGTGCGTACGGCACTCAGAGGGTTGTTGGAGAGCTGGGTCGTGGATAAGTTGAAATAAATTTGGGTCGGATTGGGGTATCTACTAAATGAAAACAAAGGGATACTTACATAAATCTCCTGGGTCAAAAACGAACAAGATATGGCAGACAAATTTACCTCTAGCTATTTATATTTGGACGCCGCTTTGAAGAAAACTTCCTGCTTGGAGAAAGAAAGAATTCTTCCCTTATTTTTCACATATTTCGCCACTTAACTTTTAAAAAGAAAAAACTTGCTACATCTCTGGGGAAGCTACTTGGACAAATTCTCAAACTGGAAAACAGAAAACCATTTCCATACTCAGGAACGACGATCAAATCAGGTTTGGTGGAGTAACAAAGCAGACAACGGGGACATCCTATACAATACTTTTCAAAAGTTTCCGGTATCTATACAAATCTTCTAATGACTACTCTGTCAAAACTGCTATTGCAAAGAGTATCATCACTTGACAGGTCTTAAGACATCACAAAAAAAAATTGAATCGACTTTTTGATTCAAAATTGCCTCAACATTCTACATCTTTCGGTTGATCTGGTTTTACTCTTAGTCCGCAAAAACGTCTACCTAGTTTCAAATCTTTTCTCCGACTCTTATCTGCGTTACATTCTACAAATTCCGCCACAAATCATTTCCCCTTTCTCGTCTTGCAGCTTGTTTTGCCTACCAACTTAAAACAAACAATATCCCCCTTGATATTCGTTCTTAACAAACTCGAAACGAACAAAGCAACTTTTTTTTCAACCAGAATATTAGGGGACTCATGTATATTTACTTTTAAATTGGGTAAAAATAACACGTAGTTATTGATTATTCTAGCGACCCTAATTTTAACCTGACAATGTAACAGAGACAAAAAAATATTTCCAACGTTATTACGCATTTAAGAATCTCTTGGTATAAACAACCAGGGGCGTACACAGTAATATGGCTTTTTCCAGAGTCTTCAGCAGTGTGACTGTTGTTGATTGTTGCTTTGAAGAGATTCAATTACGCCTTAATATTCCAAGGACAAATGAAAGGGTCCATCGAGTGTTGGTGAATAGACGACTTTCGCGAAGAGAAGAAAAACAATTTACAAACAGAAGTCTCGACCTTCGCAGAGAATATATTATACTCTACCATTATGGCATAAGAGAGATAGTAGCATCAGCTGTCTGGAGGTAATTGACGAGACCTTTATAGATCTCATAAAACAAAGTTTCAGATAAAAAAGAAGAGTTTAAAGAAGAATAAATAACATGTGTCCCCATTTCGTGGGCGTGTTCTTGAAAGGCAGTGGGGTAAAATAGGTCCGGTTCCTTGAACCGTCCACTTTCAAGGTGTCCGGTGGCCATCTTAAAAGTGGGCGGTCCTTATATTGCTCTAGAAATCTGAAATTTTCCCACGCTTACGTTTTCCATACACTATAGACACGTCTCTTGGAGCTGCCATGCCCAGGAGTGTTATGGGTAACGATATAGGTGTAACAGGTGACAAACAATGTCACAATTATACAGAGTGTAGTCAGAAAATTGTCCTAATTTCACGTGAAGTTTCTCGAAAAAAAAAAAGAGATTTGTATAATTGGAAAAACCTCATCACGAAAATATTAGAAGCTATTAATTAGTTTTTATATCAGAAAAATGGCTAATAGTCGCAGATTTAAGTATATGATTTAATTAATATTTTATCAACTAATAAAAGAATTTTCGTTTTTTTTTAACACATTAATATAAATAATGCAATCGCAACGACTTTATAACATGCATTATTCGTTTATTACCTCTAGGAGATTAGTACGTATTTATTGATAATTTTTTTCGATTGCTTATCATTTATTTCTCAA